TGTCGAAGATTCGAAGTTTGTCCTCGCTTCTTTTTGAAACTACCTTTGTGGTCCTTGACCTAAGCCCAGAGGAGTGATGTAAAAGCCAACTTAAGCGGTTCTCTGACTTAGAAGATTAGAAGGGAGATAGAAGAAGATGAAAGAAGAAGAAAAAAAAAGTCTGAAGAATTTTGCAGAAATTTGAATTTGGGCCTATTATCCAGAAATGCTCCCGCTACATTACAGTCCACTTTAAAGGTACCAGGAGAATCGCTCAATGAAGGAGAGCTCATCTAAGCCATTTATAAGGCTGTACAACGTAAGATAAAAGAGTTATAAATGTTTGAAAATCATAAAAACGGCCGCCATCTTGAAAAACCAACCTCAATCCTACTTATAGGCTACCGCCTATATAATAAAAGGCCTTTTCACACTGGCACAGTTTTCAAAGCGCTTTGATGCGCTTTGTTGATACAGCTGAAATAATGCGCATTGATCGTGTTCACACTAGCAGCTGAATTATGTATCATTTTGTGTTCTTGTTGCCATTGGTTTACATTGATCGAAGCGCATCACTTCACATCAATCCACCTCTGGAGGTGAAGTGAGACTGATGCGCATCAATGCGCATTAATTGAAAACCACTCTAGTGTGAACACGATTAATGCGCATCAATGCGCATTACTTTGGCCAGTGTGAAAAGGCCTAAAGACATAGATTGTATTACTAAGTAACAGGGATTGGAAACTGATGACGTCACACGGACAGACTCTGTAATGGTGGGAAAGCAATGGAAGGACTACACAAGCTCTTCTCCTAGTCTCCAACTGTATTAATTTGAATTTTATTTACTATCGATGATGAACAGATAGGTCTTGGGAGTTCATGACTGTTCTTTGTGACGGTTAAGCATAGTTTTGTCATAGATTGTATTACTAAGTAACAGGGATAGGAAACAGATCACGTGATCTCATTCAAATTAATGAAAGCAGGTGCGGACGAACCTTGTAAGACTCTGCCCCTTCCCCGCCTCGTTGAGACTAGAGCAATATGACTGAGAGGACTACTGGATTAAGTGTAGCTTGAAGCCAGATCCAGGGCAGTTATATAGCTTATATTGTTGCTGAAGGTTTGCTTACTTATCAGAAACTGTTAAAGCTGTAATACAGCACTTTATTTTGAAGAAAAATGAGAAAAAGCATGCTTTTTTACCATGCGTAATAGGTGTGAAATCTATTCAACCTATAACTTGCTAAGGGTAACTAAAACTGAGAGAGTGTCAATATAAAAAACATGCATCAAGTAAAGCTACGTGCCACTAAAACACTTTTATTATCACTAGTGTTTCATACAGATCATAAGATCCCAAAATGTCTGTTTTTAGAGGCATATCTGTTCAACCTATATCACAAAAAGTAAGTAAAATTAGGATAAAGGACAAAAACTGTAACAAAGATCAGAGTTTTTCACATGCCTTTAGCCTATTATATAAGCCACA